TTACGCTCAAAGTCTTCGCCTTGGAGGTCCTGAGAAGATTATTTTTCTTAAAATCGAAATGTTTCCTATACTGTAACACTACGTGTCGTCAACTAGCAGGTTTTCATCGAAAATTCGTATCGTTTCTTTTTTTGTATCGGTTATTGATCATTCCTAGATCGGGGAAATCGACTATTTTCAAAAATGAGTTTCATCAAGCATATGCTTTGTTTTTTCTCAGGAAGGTTTTTTCGGATTCTAAAATTTGCTTACCTCCCGGTGGTGGTGGTCCGTGTGGTCCGCCTGGTGGGCGGGGGCGAAGGTTTTCTGGCAACGCTTCGATAATGGCACGGATCTTTTCATGACGTTGTTTCCAAGATAATGTCTAGAATATACTTCCTGGCTTACTGGTGTAACCTTACAAATGTGCAATCAAGGAAAAAAGTGATTTCCTTACAGTATCACGATGAACTGCTTCAACTTTTGCTCGAGCGTCCGCCGGTAGTTGACTGAGGAACGGTGGGGGTGGTAATTTGGCAAGGACGCTGGCAGGTAGTGCGGACATTATCTTGTCGATTTGATCGAATTGTTGCTTAATCAAATATTTGGACTTCGAAGTCATATCTCTGTGATAATTTCTTTAATTCAATACTTTCAAAAATTGTTTATCATATACATTTTTTATTAACAATATCACTACCTACCAACAAGTATATCAGTTTATCATGATTTATCTTTTACTTGAAATTATTGTATGCTAGTTTTTCCTGTTATCATTGTTTCGAATTAAAGCTAAAAAAATTGTTTGTCATATCTATTTTTTATTTACTATATCATTACTTACCATGAGGTATATCAATTTATCATAACTTGTCTTTTGAATTACTAAATGCTTATCTTTTCCATTCCTATTTGACGGGAAAAATGTTAGTTTGAAATGGCGGAAAAGGTGCAGCGTTGCTCACCTCAGGCGTCAGAGAAGTATTTTCATGGATTTGCTCCAGTTTCTGGACGACGTCGGCAGGAAGGGCCTCTTTAAATCCGGGTGGTAGACCCTAAAAAATGGACCCGATTCACTTTGGTAGAAGGCTTTGCTTGAAGTTCTTCTGTGGTGCGTTTCCCAAATCTCCTCGGGGCTCAAGTCATATAATGCGCGATCAGTAGTGCGTACATTTAAAAATTTCAATGATCAATCACATTCATAGGAAAGGAATGCTCCAACGATGATTCTTCCACCTAGATACCGTAATCATCGAAGGGTTTCTGCCTCTACGGGTTGGTTTGACGGTAAGAGATTACTGAGAATAAAAATGCTTGTCACCTCGTCAATTCAGAGGTCACTAGGAATAGGAATCGTATGCAAGGCGTAGCCAAAAGCGGAAGCAGTCAAATCGGAGCTTTGGATCCAAGACAGGATAGCTGAAGTGAAATGATTACCTTGGGCATCCTGGGTGGCTGAGCAAGAGCCAGGCTCATGACGGCGACGACCACCGCCAGACCCTTCATTTTGTCGACGAATGGAATCACGGCCGTCATACCCCAATATATACCGATCAGTTTTGGCCATTGTGTTTGCATGTCGTGAACAGTCTTGACGATTCACCTTCGCGCATTACGTGCACAAAAACATCCTGCTCGCAACCGCAACGCGATACGCTCGCATTGTTGTAGCGTCTGCGTCTCCTCCTGGCTACCGTTGTCCAGCTGTCTGATCTCGAGGAAATGGTCGCCAACGAGCAAACATCTGCATCAACATCGTCCATCGCACTCACTCGTACTTGACGAAATGATCTCGACCAACCTCACGATGAAACCACCGTGAACAATAGCCCCATGGTAATAACCTTACCGTAAATAGCCACGTAAACAAACAGACGGCTCTCGTAATGGGTTCAGGTGGCGTTCAAGTGTAGTTGGACTCGTTCACTTCGGCGTTCAACTTGATAGTTTCTAAAAAAAGAATAGTAAAGTGACCGGCGTGCTCCGACCTTCACGTATTCTATCTCTAAGCTGAATTGTGAGTCAATTCATTGCTTTTCTTCTCCCATGCAATTCCTGTATCATTTACCCGACCACGGAGTGATAGAAGGCTCGATAGTTTGGACGGTCCGCCAATCCTCAGACGTTACATACGTGTGGTAGCGCGCCAGTGGGCACTATCCCTCGTATCATCGCCTCATTCATCCAGTACTCAAAGATCGTTAAAAAGTTGACATTCTCGATTCCATAGTGTCTGCGGCTTGTTTACTTTTCCAGCAAAGTTTTCTTCTAGGGCGAGACGCAAATTCGCTGAAGATCTTTTCGTTGTAAGTGCAATAATAGTTTGAAAAAGTGTTTGTTCCGATAATCTATATAGACATTTCGTAGTACAAGAACCACGACGCCATGAAAAGTGTTGTCGTTTGCAAATTGGAGAAAGTTTTNTTTTGTCCTTGAAACTGTAACCGCCATTGTAGATGGTGTGAAGTGAAACCATTCATTTTCATTATTTTTGCCGGTAGTCTCGAAATAAACAATCGATCTCGCGTAATTTTCCAAAGACCGCCAGTCACATGGCTGAAAGCCAGATTTCAAAGTTGAAGTTACATTCATGGCTTATCCCATTGTATAATTATGTGCAAAGTCGGATAGTCATCCAATCAAGTTGGGTACAGGCTAATCGATACTCGCGAGGTATATAGCCTGATTATCCTCGGCTTATCCGAAACGAGAACGAGCCCGAAAAGGCCATGACCCTGATCCGCATCACTTGAAATCACCCCACTTCTGATCTTCACAACTGATTTATTTTTCTATGATTTTTATCGTACTCATATACGCACTCAAACGCCGGTTTGATTCTGAATGAAAGTCTAGGGTTAGGGCGCATTCCACGAATTGGATCGACTAGCGTAGCGTCAAAAAACTTTGTTTTCCAAACCGTTATTCGTATAGATCTTGTAATCGCACATTCCAAAAATGTTCGGTAGGAATTTTTTGTTTTCGAAGAGATTTTGTATGCTGCGGAAAAGTAGCAGTTAATTTTATGTGAACAGTGTAAATCCATGCATGTTATTTGCTTGTTAAAGTGATTTCTGAGCAATTATACTGCGAAGATTTTTTAGTGTTGTTTGGCTATTCCAATTTTCCATTTAGTGCCGAAAACACGTATGAAACCGGATTTCCAGACATTTTTCAAAGCCTATGATGTTCCGGATCTTCGATGTGATCGTTTCAGTCGTTATTATTCAATTGACCTTGGCCATTCCTAGACCGGTTCTAGTAATGCGAATTAAACGATTAAAAATAGTTCTCTTCAATCATAAACCCTGATGTCATAAAATGGAGGCGGTTTGGTTTAGTTGTGGAAGAGGGCTTTGCCTGAAATCGATTTGTGATTTTGCTAAGGCAACGAACATCGCCCTGACGAAAAATTTTGAATCTTTTTCCTCAATGATCTCAATTTCTGTGTTTGTACCTCAAGCCATGAGCCACTGCCTGATCACAAAATTCTATGAATCAAATCAGTTTCGATCAAATCCATCAGGTCTTTTGTCATCCATGATCTCTATCAGAACTCTGCGGCACTGTAGATCCTGTGATCCCTTCCTCTAATGAATTTCGCCTCATTCTCTATAAATCCAGCCCACTTTGAACAGTTTCGCATCTCGAGCTTTCGCCTATACGTCTGCCATTTCTTCAATCGTATATGTCTTCTTGTGGACAGTCGAGGAACACCAGTATATACGTAGATTTATTTGGAATAGAACGGGACACGATCAAATAATTTCAAAAAACCTTTGAGTATCATTTTAACGTAGAATGCGCGGGTTTGCAAAGTCTGTGATAAAATGTTTAATTGATAAATTCAATAATATCCTACAACATATCAGACATAGCATAATTGATTATTTGTATTTTTCCTGCTCAGCCATTCACAATTTTTATTATGTTTTGGCGCTAGTGCCTTGCATGGATTTCAAACTATCCCAAAACCCTATTAGCTTTTTCACTTTGGGCTCCAAAAATGAAAGAAGAACTGATAGTATATGTCTTTCCCATTTATGATTCTCGAATGTCTTGCCTTCGTTACGAGTAACGTCGTCTGGGCTTGATCATTTTTCTCGAAGGTGTTATCCGACTCTTTGATGAACCAATTTTTTCAGCATCTCCAATATGTGGTCAGCTGCCTTGGTGTTTATCGATTTTACGCGTCTGATTCAAATGGAAACACAGTAAGTCTTGATATTTATCACTTGAACATTCAACTCCTATCACATAGTTTTTGAAACAAAATGCTAAACCCGGCATGTTTCGGTTTACAACTATAAATACAATACATTTGTATGTTGGTAAGTCACCGAGAGACAAAAATCACGCTATGTCAAATCCGTTCATGTAAGTATAATTATAATTAAAGAACAGGTTATCAATAAAGTCTCCTAGAAGAAATCAATAATTTCGGTTAACAGTATGAGACAACAAAAACAGAAGATTGTCGTGGCAAATGCACTGACCGAGAAAGGGGTTAAATTGAAAGGTGCCTGACTTGAAGTACAGGGACTAGATGAACGAAAAAATCGATTAATCGATTTTATCTTGAGTCTATGCTACACAATCAATAAGATTGAGTTTTCAAATGATTTCTGAAAATCTTCTTGAAATTAATCTAGCTATGCTACTCTGTGGCACATAATTAGGAGCTCACTATATACCACAATAAGGTCGTAATATAAGCCATAGGTCAGATTTAACTCTACAGACTACTTAAGAAGGCAGTACAGACTTCTGCATTTCAGAACTGTCCACAGAAATATTCTCGAAATGTCAGTCGTGACGCAATTTCTATGGGAATTCTGACCTCCCAGGTAAGTGCTAACTCGCGATTCTTTTTTCCGCTTGATCCCGATCAAAACTTTGAGAAACTCCGCCCCTTCCTGTGACATTAGGTTTTTTCTGGGAAGTCTCCGCCTCATTCAATTGCAGCCTGTGCTACCATCAGGGTGCTCTTTTCCCTTGAATTAAGCGCTATAACAAAGAAATTTACCAGTATTTATGAAGAACACAAGCCTACAAAGTGTCCTATAGGATCCTAGAGCTCTAAATAATAGGTTGACATTATCTCTGGCGATAATCAACCTTGAAACACATTGTGGATGAGAAAACAAATCATAAATAAAGAAATAGCCGTAATTTGTGTAAACGTTCACTGCAGCTACCGTACATCCACCGTATTCGCAGCTGTCTATGTCTATAGGATAGTATTGCTTCGTCGTTTTCCTTCATCGGGATCCGAAAGCAATTTGTATAGTAGCTCACCGAGTTTGTCAACTTCGCGTAGGTTGTTCACCTGTAACAGATCGATACGCATCTTAGACATTGAGGTGTTGGAAAAGGTTTTTCGAAGGGTTTTAGTCGTACCAGCCATAGCTGTGTGGTCCAGATCATATCCATAAGTTTCCCGTCGTCAATTTGGTCGATACGTACATTGATGCCCTGAAGGTGATCAATGAATTGGTACGGAACAATCGAGAGTTGGTGAGGTACCTTCGGGCTTATCCGTACGAATGGTATGTTGTGGGCATGGCATCGTTCCTCTGCCATTTCGACGGTTGTGAGATCTTGACCGACTACCTGAAGCTCACCGAACAGTGAAAGTGGACGAATGGTAGTGTTGGGACGAGTTCACACAACGTTCATCAGGTGTGTGGTTGCAAATATGAATGTGGAATGAAATCAATTGGAAAAAAAGGCCGGGATAGGACGCGGCTGATCAGATTTTTCCAGTACGTCATGCCGTCGACTTCTTGACGTCTTTTTGAAGTGTCCATGTAAGTGAGATGTACTACCTTTGGCAGCCAGCTTGTATTTGAATATATGTTTACTTCTTGGCATCTACCACAATTACAAACCCCAAACAAAGTAAGAGGGGAGAGGGGGAGGGGTGATGGGAGGTGGATTGGTGTATAGATATTCAGAGCTGCTGCTACCACATGCAAGGTCCAGTGACCGGCTCTCGGATAGTACCCGACAAGCAAACAGGCATATAAGAGTAATGTGGCTAAATCGGTACCAACACTACAGCACCGTGAAATACTGTAAAAGAGAACGCTATCACTATTCATACCATCGCTTGAATTGGGTAGGAGAAGGGTTTTGCAACATCACTCTGGGTATGGTGGGCTTCAGCCGAAGTCCGAGGGATTGATATTAG